AACATATGTGTAAACTGTAATCATACCAGTATATACATGATATATGCCTGTCATAGGCCCAAGTAGGTACCGACAATATCATGTCTTATCCCAATAGCGATACATCCGTTACAAGCACCACGATACATCCATACATAACGTAGGCCGTAGCTGTGATGTGATCAATGAAATATATCTGCATTATACTCCTGAATTATACAACCATTAACAGTAAACCCCCCCCCCCCCTATTCCACAATCAATACAACCATCAGAAAACTAGAAAAATGCAGGAGGACAATTGGGTTAATATTTTTTTTGTACGCTCTTGGGATACTTCTAGCATGACTTTGTTTTTTTATTGGTTTCCGAAGTAATTTCAGGGAAATTTTTATGTCAAAATGGAGATGTGTGCCAAGTTCTTTATAGAACTACATTGGTATTGGAATATTTGGAGCAAGTCTTTCTAGTTCACCCTGAAATGCTAAATTCCTTAAATGGACTTGTCTAGCTTCCATTTTTGGAACTGTCCATTACCACTTTTGGAGGTGTTATGATGAAAATTTGGTCAACAAAAACTATAGTGACTGGTCAGACTGCAGAGCTGTATAGGCCTGGCTGTAAAATGATGGCAAACACTATACATATCCAGTTTCAGCAGGAAGATGTGAAAATTAATTTCTAAAGAACAATTTTCACACTTTTAAATGGAAAATTATTAACTAAATTACATGTTGAACTGAACATTATCTGTGCTTGATTCATTATTAAATCAAAGTAAATTATTATGACCTCAAGAACCCTTTTCACTACTGACTTTGAATACTTGACTACTTGACTTACCCTTTTTCGAATTTGGATCAGTCCACAAACAGATTGAGAGATTTCAGGGTCAAAACATTAAAGATCAGTAGCCAAAAGAAAAATAACGTAAATATGTTTGTTTAATTATCGCCACTCAAAAGATTGTCAGATTAGGACTATCTTTAAGTGTTTTGATAGCCACTCTGTCCTTAATTGTTGTTAAACTTAAACCTCTGTCCTTAATTGTTGTTAAACTTAAACCTCTGATTTGTATTTATAATATTTAGAGGCGATAAAAATTAAATTCACCTAGAATCTTGTAAGTAAATTTATAAAACTGATGTATTGTTTGACATATAGTTCCGAGGTATTGTTTGACATAATTTTATAGTTCCTCCTTACACCCTTTCAACAGAAATTATTTTAGTTTGATTGCTTAAAAAGTTACATCAGATTACTGAACGCCATCGGATCTGTTCCTAGAACCAACCAGTACTATGCAATGAGAATATATATAGTTTCTTGCTCCAGGAAACAACCGGGTTTGAACCACATACTGCCAGCAATCCACTGATTACTATAGTCCCTCGTATTAACCACTCAACCACAATACCACAACCAATATTTACATAGCATATTTCCATGAATGTACATGTACCTTATATTATCTTCATATACCATGTATACAGTATATACATGTACAACAATAGTAACAATAAGTATGAATCACATGACGTTGATTGTTACATTGTTATATAAACTATTAGAGTTTTCTTCTTTTTTTAATATAATACAAATTTAATATCTAAAAATGGCCCATTAATGTAATTTTGGCTTTTCTGATGGAGTTGCCTGGCCTTATAATAAATATCAAGTGATACAAAACTTTGCATGTGTTACTATATACAAAATTTGTTTTAGTTTGATTGTGTAAGAAGCTTAAAGACATGCTCTAGAACCAGTTCCTGGAACCAACCAGTACCAAGCAATGAGTGTAGTTTCTTGCTCAAGGAAACAACAGCTTGCTCCTACCATTTTAGGTTTGAATCCACGGAGATAGCAAACCTTATATAACTAGTCCAACGCTTTAACCACTCAGCCATACTGCTTAACGTGCATGTGTTGTCTTTTTATGTCAGGGATTTTTTCAGGATTTTGGGAACATGACCCATACCCATGGAATTGGGAATTTCATCAGTGTATACTGTGTTTTGTTAAAAGTTGGGTAAATATGCACAACTGAAATTTTGCAATGTTTATTAAATGAATGCAAACAATCACTGTCTACGATGGCATCTTCAAACATTTAAGCACTATTACAGTGAAGAAACCCTTATTTTCAAAGATTTTAGAATTTTATTCAATATTTTTATTTTGTAACTTTCAGTTGGGAATTTTTTCCTGTAGATTGGGAAAGTAATATACTATTTTGAATTGGGATTATGACCCAATAACGGCTATAAAATAAGACAAAACAAATCCCTGTATGTACATGTAGGCTTACATGAAATTGTCCAAGAAATGTTATAAAAAATTTGCCTCAGGATCACTTTTTAATATAATCATTTCCTAGAATTGTTTAATATTTTATCTATACATGTATGCAATGACAATTCATTTAATATCCTATATTATAGAGGATTGTACATAAAAAACAGAATACAATCATTACAATATACATGTATTAACTATTTTGTCACCTTAGTGCACTTACAGGTTAATTTGTTACTGTACTAACATGATGATTTGTTCATTTTCATTATGCTATGTCTGCAGGAGGTATTTTCCTATATTGACTAAATCTAGTCCGAAGATAACATATAATATTGATCAAATGAAACCTTACCCCACTAAATATCTTAAAAGGACTTGTCTATCTTTCAATCTGGACAAAACCATTCATCTTTTATAGGGAATAGCACAATGTACATTGTACTTAGTGAATAGTGAGTGAACAGTGCAGACCATGATGATCAGACAGCACATATGTGACAGCTGATCTTGGTCTGCACTAGTTGCTAGGCCACGAGCTGATTGAAGGTTAATATAATTATGTACTGAATAATAACTTACTCATCAATATGAATATTTACAGATATTGAACAACAAATTGTTTGAAACAAATGTTTCTTTTGTAAACAAAATAAACCTTGCAAATCAGTGTCTTTTCTAGGATTCGAAAAACAAGAGGGATTTTTATAGAAAAGTGAGATATTTCATTTTGTTGATCTTTTTCCTTCTTTCTTTATGTACTAAAATTTCCCCACTGCCTCTGAAAAATTAGGGGAGAATTCTCAAAAATATGAGTGAATCCCCTATCCCCCCTCCAAGAATGGTTACTGCAAACATGCAAAAGGGAAATAAGAAGCAAGTATTAGTAAGCAATTATCGGACACTTAGAAAATAATTATTCAAGTGAATCAGGCTACTGATTTCATTTATATGTATATCTATGAATGACTTTTCAAAGGCAAGGTCAAGGCCTATTTTTACATTATCGGCATATCAAAGGTCTAATAGCATAAAAACATATAAAATTTGAAACTCTGATAGAGATCAACTGAAGAATTCAATTTTTCAAAATCTTTTTCAAACAATTAAGTTGACTTATAGGGTAATCCTTTACATCGTTGAATCAGTTGAGAAAAGATTGTTGGAAATAAGAGGGACTTCAACAAAAAAAAAAAACTGTAATAGCCCAGGAAAGTTGTTTCTATGTAATGGTCTATGTACTTTACTTGAAGAAAATCCATTACTTTTATAGAAGATATTAATATGACAAAATAATATGAATAGATGCTATTCTTAAAATGTTTTGCTGTGCAATTTATTCCAAATGCCACCCTGACCATATAACAAGTTGTTTTTGTATGTTTTTAGTTTACATTTACATAAATCAATGTTTTTAAATCACACACAGCACTTTATTTTGAATAATTCAATTCAAATTTGCAACTTCATTCAAAGTATGGAAGAAATCTGTATTAAATGCAGATCTTGTTTCTACAGAAACTGTAATGAATAAACTATCAGATGCAATTTTTATGACATTTTGTCCTTAATAATTCTTTACCTTAAACAAAATTACAACTAGTATAGAGTCTGTAGACTACATACTATATAATAATGACAATTTGTTTATTTGTAATATAATGGTAAGGTTATCCAGCCTAAAATACAATCAGGCTTTCATATTTTCAATTTTTCAATATTTGTACACTGATCACCCCTTGAAAACTATAAATGGACTGTTCCAAATTCAAATGTGGACAAATCCATTTCACAAATTCAGCAGGTTTAAGGATTAAATAAACATATATATTATTTTCCAAATAAATATTTTACAACAAAATCCACCAGTATGATTCAAGTTAAGTTATACATCAGTATGAGTAATATAGAACATATTTCATAATGATTGTATCATTTGAGAGATGACAGCAATTTTCATGTCCTACATGTAACATATAATGGGCAAAATTTTAACTATCAAAAACACATTTCAAAAAGAAAACAAAAAACATCATAATATTTAGACGATCTTTTTCAACATAGGCCACAAAAAGAGCATAAATCTGCAGCATTCTTTTAAAGCAGCACTCTTCCAGATTCATATAAGTGTGGTTTGTTCTGTCCCCAAGCTTAGCTTAATAGGACGAGCACGGGGTTTGAAATCCAATAGTTTGATTCTCAGGCAAGGTGAAATTACTCTGTGAGGGTAAATTCAGAGAAAAAGCTACGCTACAACTTCTTAGCAAATCTTAGTCTGTGACCTTAAATTATCATTTTACAGACACAAATGAAAGTTCCAGTGAATACCTTCAGTAGATGTGCAAAATTTGCATGCAATACCTTAACCACCAAAAGTAATTGGTTTTTTTAGTTAATTTTTAAATAACACAAAAATTTCAGAATTCAGTGACATCTCTATAGAGTGGCCCTCTGTATACTACAGCAATAACACCTCATGATAGCAATAACCTCTTGACACCCGACAGTAAACTTTCTTCCTAAAGGAAGACTTTACCCCTGAGGTCAAGGTCACTGTTACTAAAAATAGAAAAATGGTTTCTAGAAATTACCTTTTTAGGGCAACACCTCCCAGTCACAACCAAGCTTTTTGTTGTCCAAACAGTGTAGTTCTGCAGAGGTGGTACTGTAAATCTATGCTAAAGTTATTGGTCTTGATACAGTGACATTAAAAAGACTGAACTTACATTAATCATTGCATTTGAAGTAATCCTGAACATTGTTGCTCTCTCGTTGATAACCTTTATCTTGCTCGAGACATCTGGTGCTCCCTCCACCTGCTCCAGTTCGGTTAGAGCCCTCTGTAAGGCACTACCATGTTTGCCGATTAAATCATTACATGTGTTCAGGTCCTCCAGTTTGGAGTTGAGTGATTTAATGGTGGTCTGTATGTCATGCTTGTCTGGCTCCTCCTCATCACTATCTATAAATAGAATTGATCCATAAATATAATTGATCTATAAATAGAATGATTCTATAAATAGAATGAATCTAAAAAAAAATAGCATTAATCTATATATAGAATTAACAACAAAGAATTGCCTAGAAATAGCATATACATAAATAAAATAGTTCAGTTTGTCAGCTAAAACCTGTATCAGAAGGTCAATGACATTACTGCATTGTATTTGCAGTAAAAATAAACAAAGATAACAAGTTACAAGTTTTAAAGATATCTTATTTCTAAATCAAAACATAAATAAGACATTAACTATAGTTAATATATTTTCAATGATACTGGTTGAAATAAGGAAATATCGTCAAGGATAAATATCACAAAGAGTACTTGAAAACAGATTATATCTTAGTCAATACATGTATCTAATTCTAAATCATTATTGTTTATACTGCATGACCAATTTATATTGAAAAGTTATTTTCTTCTATGTGCTAGAGGTGGGTATAACGTTTATATTTAAATTCAAATTTAAAAAGCTGTCATTGATTCTGTGCAAAGCATATCGACCAAATATTGATTTCAGTTTAGAAATATTGATGTTACATTGAATTTGATAATATGTTAATTACTTATAATTACTTGTATTTATAATTTACTTTTATACCTCAGTGACCTGTTTAAATATTTCAGTAAAATGCATGACAGTTTATGTACTGTTCATACAATTATGATGTGTATGTTTATAATGTATGTTTATGAATGACGATCGCATAGTATTTTCTGGCTATTTTTCATCACTGCAATGAAATATGTCCATTTTGTAACCACAGCATGGTTTTAAACATGTAGTTTTGGCTGGGCACCCGTTTCCTTATGTACATGTACCTAAGACAAATTTTCATAATTTCTCGGCATTTCATAAATTAGTCAAAACTATCGATTTTTTAAAGTATATATCGATGAATAATTGACAGAAATATATCAACAGTACATCAATTTTATATTTTATTAATGAAGGCTCTACAAATTCAGTGAATTTCCTGCTAATATAACAGACTCCGATAAAAAGCCTCTTCCCAATTTAAATTTTCTTTAAAATCATGCAGTTTTCTGAAAAATCTAAACCTTAACCTGTTTTTTTTTACTTCCCAAATTGGCAATTTGAGCGGTATTTTTTCAAAAAATCAAGAGGCTAAGGCCTCTTCCCAATTAAGTGAGAAAAATCACTGAAATTATATAATCTGAGAATAGAATGATTAGTTCAAACATACCCGGTTCTAGCATTCTTATTGCATCAGCTTTCGCCAACTCTAGCGCAGTCACCCATTTCTGCCGATCTACTTCTGACGTTGCTTTAAGATGAAAGGTGTGGTTACCACCACTAGATATGACTATTGTACACGAATCAGATGTTGTGATAAATGCTGTGGCTAGATTTATAGTTCCTCGGCACGTATGTGTCATCTCGGCTTGATTCCTGTAATAAAATATTTACGATATATGAGCTGCGTCACGACAAAACCAACATAGTGCGTTTGCAAACCAGCATGGATCCAGACCAGCCTGCGCATCCGCGCAGTCTGATCAGGATCCATGCTATTCGCTTACCAACTCTATTACTGTAAAGTAGAAAAACTGATAGCGAACAGGATGGATCCTGATCAGACTGTGCAGATGCGCAGGCTGGTCTTGACCCATGCTGGTCGCAAACCCACAATGTTGGTTTTGTCATGACGCAGCTCAAATGATGTTGCATCAAAACACATGTCCTTCGTTAATTTACAGGGTCTAAAAAGTTTAAGGTGTATTTGATAAATGATATTAATAGATGCCGATGATATGCATTTGTATTGATAGGGTAGATGGAAATTTCATTCCGAAGACAGTTCGCACCAAGACAGTTCAATCCAATAAATTAAACAACTTTTAATTAAATAAAATTTCTATATATATATATGTTTAATGGTATTTTGATTAATAAATGGCCATATGATATAAGATATTCCATTGAATTTAAAGGGGATTTCAGAGTCTTTCACAGGGTTACCGCTTATTCGGTCGCTCAGCAACGGCGCTAAATGCAACAATATATTAATTCTAGCGTATAAAATCTTTAACTGGCGAATTTTACAGGCCCCGACAAGATAAAAAAATATCCGACAACTAGTACACTGAAAAGTCAATTATCAGCCTCATTGGCCATAATATGAAATAATTTGTTTGTTAATCAAACTGTTATCCTCAAAATGTGTGACACTTCGATAACATGTCAGGATGAAAGTGTCAATATGTTAACAGGAACAATTTACGTCTTTAATCCCCTGACTTAGATCACTTTTAATTACACCTATTAAATAAATGATATACCGTACTTCATTGTTAAAAAGTACTTGGTATCTATTTCATTTTATTTTCATTGATTTTTAGATAAAGTTTATTTATAGTAATGTTGTTCTTTTTTCTTTTGTATTTGCAGAATGCAGTGGAAGCTGGAAAGATCTTGCCTCAGTCAAGTCAGTGAGAGTGATTTTAAAGAGAGAACTGCTATAGGCAAAACAGAACCTCCCAACCTCATTACTGACTTACAATAATGCTTTTGATTACATTTATGTTGTCATGTTTTTATTTGAATGGAATTTGAAATTCATGTATTTATATGTCTATTTTACATAATAAACAGCTGTAATAAATAAAATATTATAAATACATGTATGTGTTTGTAATCACAATGATATATAACTAATAAATTCTAGCATATCTTAACAAAGATAGTCATGTCTCCCTTTCAGAATTATTGGCTCCAACTTTAAACGCCATTGGCTGGAACTTTTTCTGTTTGGTGAATTTGGTGGCGCAAACTAAAATTGACCCAGAGGGAAGCCTGTTTCAATCTGTCTGCTAAAGGAATTCGAAATACTAATTAAAAAGAACAAAATTTACTTTTCTTGAGCTGATATCATCCAGTCTTTTTTATTATTTCTATTTCTACATCATATTGCTTTAAAATTGTTTACGCTCACTCTAAGCAGGTATACATTGTACACATTAAAGAGACAACTATGAGATACAATCCGGGAACCAGTCCCTAGCTCTTATAAAATAGACCCCTTGGTTCTTTTACATGCCCTGTGTATAGCACTGATACATGCGAGGATTACCTGGATTTCTTACCAGTACACCTCTAGGTAGGTGGGAAACACTGAAAGTGTCTCTGAAAAATCCCAAGGGTGTAACCCAGGATCGAACCAGGGACCTCAGGAATGATAATCAGTGATAATCGCGCCACCTCTATTTATAAAATAACTAAACATTTTTAGAAGGTTTTGTAAAGTTCATTAAAAATAACATTTTCTCCATAATAAAAATGAAAAAACGAAACACTAAAAGATTACTGTAAATCTAATTTTCATTTCAAATTTAAGTATGTAGATATGTGTTAACTTTTCTGTCAAACATCAGAATAAAATAATTGGGAGTGAAACATCTAAACAATTAACAAAGTGGGAGTGAAATGTCTAGGTGTGAACCGTCTTGGGAGTGAAACATCTCAATTGTGAAATGTCTATGGTGTTAAATGTCTGGCATTTGGCTGTCAGTAGTCCTAATTATAAGACCTATACGTAACCTATTTCATATTTATCATTCATTAATCTGATATTTTACATTTTTCATTTTCCATGTTACGTTAGGTCTTAACAGATCTTTGCAAAATCGTGTAGCAAAAAAATTGACATTAGCACACTGGCCATAGCTTTCGCAGAAGCGGTGGGTCTACCGGTGCGGCGATGATTCGTCGCAGAAGCGGTGGAAAAACATGGCTGTCGGATAGTTTTTTGCTGGTGTCGGTAAGTTTATGACTTATTTGTACGTTATGTTTTTATGTTCTACTGATAACAGCTAGTGAGACTGGAGCCCACATATGTACTTTTCCAGCTTATTACACGCATGGGGTGCAAATCATGACCAGTTATGCAAACACTTCTGTACAGTTTGACGAGGGGACGCCAATTTTGCCTAATTTTGTTTATAACACTACATATGTACTCAAAACTACCCCTAGATACACTGGCATCGCATCGTATGTATGATAATTACACAAAACAACCATATTTTGGAACTTTTGGAAATTGATATTACCATTTTGATAAAAGAATTGACAAAAAATGATTACAACGCAGACGGCGGTGGATTCGATTGCAACGCAGTGCGGTGGGCCCGATATCATTTAGGTCTTTTTTTAACGTTAAAGTCACTGACACTTAGGAGTTGAGCTCCAAACACCAAAAAAATACAAATGAAATATATATTTGTTAATCCTAACACACATAGTTGTTATCAATGAAGTAAATATACGCTTTTTTGCATCATGTACCTTTAATAAATATGTTTTTATAAAACAATCCCTGTTTTAGATACTAGTTTAACTCACACACCCGTGCCGATTTTGCGACTCCATAAATATGGTATCGCACGGCCGTGCATATATTTTGACGTGACGTCATTAGCGTTATGCGAACATAGTGTAAAGACGCGCTAAATGTTAGCGTTATACTATAGGCGCGTCAATGAAAAATGACTCTTATTTCACTTTTAACGGTCTCTATTTTGGGTATGTGATAAATAGAGGATATTAGTCCAAGAGATGGCGGGGTTTTATTGCAATTTACCGTATCACCAAAAGAAACATTATCATTATCAAACATATTGTTTGTAGTTTCTAAAAACCCATTTCTTAAGTTACGCAGCCCGGGCAAAAGTACAAAAATTCAAGATGGCCGCCAATATGGCCGCCATAAATTACAAAATACCATATAATTTTTGTTTCTTGACTTTTTACATACAGATTTTGTACAAAGTAGTTTTGATTGCACAATATCAGGAAAAATATGGGTAATTTATGTCATTATTAAGCAAAAATGACAATTATATGACAAACTTAAAAATTATCACTATCAATTTACCAAAAAAGTGGTAAAAAATAGCATTTTTTGACAATATGATGACTTTCGTTTTTCCGTATTAAAATAATATATATGGAATTGCATTGAAATTGTGTGTATTTTATCAATTTAACATAGCTTGACAAGTTAAGCATAAAAAATCATTATCTGAGTATTAATGATGTAAGAGTAGAACTTCAAAAGTGGGTGGGGTAAAAATACCGAAAAATATTTAAAATTACAATGTTCCCAAATCATGCCTTTACATTATAATTTCAGTTTAATGTATAGGAAATTGTGTTTTAATCTTAAGGTATTTGTCATTTGAACATTTCTTGATAAGTTAAGCATAAAAATTCATTACCTGATTATTTATCACAGATGAGTACAGCTTCAAAAGTGGGTGGGGTAAAATAACCGAGAAAGAAAGAGGGAAAAAAGAAGAAAAAAATCAAAATTATTAAGCTTCTAAAACTTGCCTTTACTTTACAATTATAGTGTAGTTATCATGTAATTGAATTTTGTGATAAAAAATATAAAGATTGTTTTACATTAAGGAAGAAAGAAACATCATGTCATCGCAATTTAAAATTATCACAAAAAATGATACCGAAACACATTTTTGAGATTTTGTTGCCTTAAGATATACCGTAGAATGAAATTACGTCAAAGTTGTCTGTCTTTTATCAGTTGATTATAGCTTGACAAGTCATTAAAAGTATTTACCTTATCATATATCTTAGAATAGAGAAAACAGAATCCCTAAAGAAAGCCCAACACTGCAAAATTGAAATTGTTGCGGCTCGGTTTGATTAAGCCTGTTCAAGGACGGTACTGGAACGTGCAAGTTACCGTCCACACCCCTAGCACCGGCTTAAGCAGAATTCAACATCTAAACACAAAGATGGTGAAATTTTGAATTTAGAAACATCCACATATGTGTTTCATACGGCGGTTATCATGGATTGAACCTCCAATGTGACACAGTAGTGTCATTCCATGAAAAGCGGCGTATGGTCCCCAAGTACAAGAAGCTGCGTGAGTTTTAAAACTCGGTGGGGAAAAAATAACACCATTCAATATAATGTTCATCAACTTGCTTTCTTTGTTCTGTAATATATGTTTTACAATTATGTGATGGCATTTTATATGTTTTGAAAACAAAAATATTGTACGGATAAATACTTTTTGAAAATATTTTTTATAATGTTCTTCCAGCAAAATTTGTAAAAAAAGATATTCGATCTCATTACATTTTAATTTAAACTTTAGTTTTGGTTGACACATCATCAATATTATTTTAACTTTGACTACTATATTATCTAACATGAAAGAAAAGAGAAATGGTAATTTTATTGATGAAAGGAGCATTTATTAATTAATGTTGTGCAAATATCATACTGAATAAAATCACAGTCATAGAAAATTGCAATAGTGGATAGCAAAAGGTATTTAAGCCTTAATGGACACATTAATTAAACTTAAAACACAATTTAAATACATATATTAATATAAGTATACATTGTAGATGCATTAATACATTC